CTGGAAATTCTAGCCAAAGGAATTAAGCAAGAAAGAGAAATAAAAGGTATCAGAATTGGAAAGGAAGAAGTAAAATTATCTCTGTTTGCAGATGATATAATCTTACATGCAGAAAACTCAAGAGTCCACAAAAACCTGTTAGAACTAATAAATGAATTCAGCAAAGTAGCAGGATACAAAGTCAACACACAAAAATCAGTTGCATTTCTATACACTAACAATGAACAACCCAAAAAGGAAATTAAGACAACAGTTCCATTTACAATAGCATCAAAAAGAATAAAATAGTTAGGAATAAACTTAACCAAGGAGGCAAAAGACTTGTACAATGAAAACTACAAAATATTGCTCAAAGAAATTAAAAAAGACATAAATAAATGGAAACACATCCTATGTTCATGAATTGTAAGACTTAAGATGTCAATACTACTCAAAGCAATCTACAGATTCAATTCAATTCCTATCAAAATCCCAATGATATCTTTTGCATAAATAGAAAACCCATCCTAAAACGCACAGGGAATCTCAAAGGACCCCAAATAGCCAAGACAATCTTGAAAAAGAAGAACAAAGCTGGAGGACCAACACTTCCTGATTTCAAAACTCACTGCAAAGCTACAGAAATCAAAACAGTGTGGAACTGGCATAAAGAGATACAGACCAATGAAACAGAATTGAGAGCCCAGAAATAATTCCCCACATATATTAACAAATGATTTTCAACAAGGGTGCCAAAATCATTCAATGGAGAGAGAACAGTCTCCTCAACAATAGTGCTGTGAAAACCACAAAGAGAATGAAGTTGGACCCTTACACCTAACACCATCTACAAAAATTAACTCAAAATGGATCAAAGACCTAAATGCAGAAGCCAAAACTATAGAACTCTTAGAAGAAAACATAGGGCAAAAGCTTCACGACATTGCATTTGGTGATGATGTTTCAGGGATATGACACCAAAGGCACAGGCAACAAAAGAAAAAATAGACAAACTAGACCTCAAAAAAATTTAAAATTTTTGTGCATCAAAAGATACTATCAACAGAGTAAAAAGGCAACCCACAGAATGGGAGAAAATATTTGCAAATCATATATCTGATAAGGGATTAATAGCCAGAATATATAGAGAACTCCTAAACCTCAACAATAAAAAAACAATCTGATTAAAAAATGGACAAAGAACTTAAATAGATGTCTCTCTAAAGAAGATATACAAATGGCTAATAAACACATGAAAAGATGTTCAACATCACTATCCATTAGATAAATGCAAATCAAAACTATAATAACATACCACTTCACACCCATTAGGATGGCTACTATCAAAAAACCAGAAAGTAACAAGTATTGGCGAGAATGTGGAGAAACTGGAACGCTTTTGTGCACTGTTGGGTGGCAACGTGAAATAGTACAGTCACTGTGAAAAACAGCATGGTGGTTCTTCAAAAAATTAAACGCATAATTACCATATGATCCAGCAATTCTACTTCTGGGTATATACTCAATAGAAGTGAAAGCAGGGTCTCAAAGAGATATTTGTAAGAGCATGTTCATAGCAGCATCAGTCACTAGCTAAAATGGGAAAACAACCCAAGTGCCCACTGACAGATGAATGGGTAAGCAAAATGTGGTATATCCATATGATGGAATAGTATTCAGACTTAAATAGCAAAAAAATTTTGACATATGCTATAACAAGGGTGAACCATAAGGACATTATTCAGTCACAAAAAGACAAATGTTGTATGATTCCACTTATATGAGATACTTACAGTAATCAAAATCATAGAGACAGAAAGTAGAATGGTGGTTGCCAGAACCTTGAGGGAAGGGTGAGTTATTGTTTAATAGGTATAGAATTTCAGTTTTACAAGATGAAAAGAGTTCTGTAGATGGATGGTGGTGATGGTAGCATATTATTAATGTATTTAATATCACTGAACTACATACTTAAAAATGGTTAAGATGGTAAATTTTAAGTTTGCGTATTTTACCACAATTTTAAAAACTGGGCGGAAAAGTGCCAATGGTTGAACCTCAAAAGAACTGAAAGGTTTATCCATAAATGAATAAAAAGCCAGCAGCATTTATCCAAAGTTTGTTTAACCATCCTAATCTCATGGGCCTATAAAAATTCAGCCGAAAATCACTGAGAAGAGGTTCTTCCGTGAGATTCCTTGGCATTTTCTGCTTCTGCTTGGAACAGAAATACCATGGGAGTATCATGTATTTTTGCTTGCAACATTTCAACACTCTTGGCTCCATTTGCAGATGGAGAAAAGCAGAAGGAAAAGAAAAGAAACAGGAGAAAAACATAGCTAACTTTTCTTAACCTACAAGTTATTGCAGCTTTTATATGAAATTTAAAGTCAGAATTTCCCTGGTTGAGGCCAACTGCCTATGCCTAGAAAACTTCCCAATGACAGACGTCTCCTTCACTGAGGTTCTGACGGAAGATGGCTATTTCAAATAAAGTCTAGGACGTAATAGAAGCAGAATTTAAATCATTTATTCAATTAGACCAGTGCTCTCTTGTTCACAGAATAGTATATTTCATACCAGTCCTTTAGAAGGAGATGTTGTGTGAGTAGATCAGTTGCAAAAATAGCCACATCCTCAAATCTATAGATAAGGAAAGTAGATTAGCAGTTGGCTGGGACTTGGGGGCGGGCGGTGAGTTAGAGGGAAATGGGGAATGACGGCAAATGGGTATGGGGTTTCTTTCAGGGGTTAAGAAAATATTCTAAATTTGATTGTGGTGATGGTTGCACAACTCTGTGAATATACCAAAAACCACTGAATTGTACTCTTTAAATGGGTGAATTGTATGGTATGTGAATAATATCTCGATAAAGCTGTTATATTGAAAAAAAATTCAGAAAAACAAATTTTACATAAAAATGACCAAAGAAAAGCACTGAGATCTAATTCCATCAAAAGTGAACATAAAAAAAGAGAATAACATCCCTATAGACAAGAAAAACATGCCAGATACGAGCCCATAAAACAGATCAAAACTATAACCCACTATTTTAAAACAAGCTAAAATACATTAGGAAAATTCCATAAGACATGAAAGAACAATATAAGTCAGAATTAGAAAAACTTGGAAATGAGGTAATAGAACCCAAGAAAGAATTAAAATTTTTTAAAAATAATAATTATTTCAGAAATGAAGAGTAAGCAAGAAGAAACACAAGAGTGAATAAACACAACAGATAGTTTTAAGAGAAACAGAGGTTAAAGGAGAACAATTTTAAAAGTTAAAAAGAAATGAAGGAAAGAAAATGCCAAATATCAAAAGATAGGTAAAGAAGCTGAAACAAACCGATAATAGGAGTAACTGAAAAAGAAAACTAAAGCAACAGAATAGAACCAATAATAAACACTATACTTCAAGAAAACTTCCCTGATTCTAAAATTTGTATGGAAATACAAAGCACTTAGATTAGTCAAAACACTTTGAAAAAGATGAAGTTGGAGGACTAACACTACCTGATTTCAAAATGTACAAAGCTACAGTAATCGCGACAGTATGGCATTGGTGTCAAGATAGACAAACAGATACATGAAACAGAATAGAGTCCAGAAACAGACCCACATATAGATGGACAATCAATTTTCACCAAGGGTGTGATGTGATTCAGTAGAGAAAGGATAGTCTTTCCAATAAATGGCATGACTGGATATCTATATACAAAAAAAAAAAAAAAGAGACTTTGATCCATACCTCACATCATATACAAAAATTAGCTCAAAATGAATCACAGACATAAGTCTAAAACCTAAAATTACCAAATGTCTAGAAAAAACATAGGAGAAAATCTTTGTGACCTTGAATGAGGCAAAAATTTCTTAGCTACAACATCAAATGCATGATCCATAAAGAAACAAATTGATAAACTGGGCTTCATAAAAATAAGAACTGTTCTTTGAAAGATATTGTTATGAGAACGTTAAGACAAATCAGAGTAGGAGAAAATAACTGCAAATCATAAACAACTCATATCCAAAATACATAAAGAACTCTCAAAACACAATTAATAGGAAAGCAAACAACCCAACTTAAAAATGGGTACAAAATCTGAATAGACGTTTTTCATCAAAGAAGATATACAAGATGGCAAACAAACACATAAAAAGATGCTAAAAGTCATTAATCATGAAGGAAATACAAGCTAAAATCTACAACGTGAAACCACCACATGCCTATTTGAACGGCTAAGACTGACTATACCAAGTGTTTACAAGGATATGAAGAACTAGAACTCTTAAACACTTTTTTTTTTTTTTTTTTAACACAAGGAGGCAATTACTACAAAAGTCAGAAGAATGGTTACTAATGGGAGTAAAGTAATTGTCACTGGGATGGGGCAATGGAGGGGCTCTGGCATGCCTAGCACAGTTCTACACCCTGACCTGGGTGGTATTGTCTTTTAATAACTCATTAAGCTATACATTTGGTATGTGTCTTCTTTTCTGTTTGATTTCATAATGAAAATTCATTCTACAATAAAAAGATTTTGTTAAATTACAATAAAAACAAAAAAGAAATACTAACCAAAAGAAAGCTGGTATAGCTCTGTAGCCAGACTGCCTGGGTTGGAATCGTGGATTCTGCCACACAGCCAGGAAAGTACTAATCTCTCTGTGTCTCAATTTCCTTATCATAAAATGAGGATAAGAGAAGTACTTAGCTCATAGGGTTGTTGTGAAGATTAGGAGAGTTAATATAGAAAGGATAAACAGAACAGTGCCTGGCACACAGCAGGACAGACGTGGTGATTATAGCTGTTGACCAGCTATCTGTGATATCTTAAGTAGTGACAACCTCTCTGGGCTTAAGTTTCCTTAAATGAGCTTAAAATGTCTACCTGACACAATTATCAGGAGGTCAAAAGGAAATACCTGTAATGTACCTAGTACAGCATTCAATAAATAATACATCCTTTCCATGGCCTCCCAACATCCAGAGAGAGTATCTGTCACATTAGACATACCTCAGTCATAGGACATTCTTCGTGTACTTTTCACCTGGTCATTCAAGCTGATCTCAATGAAATGATCACCCAGTGAGTCTCACGTCCAAAACTGGATCTTCATCTAGGTTTCAAAAACATAAACAAACCAAAATCTTAAAATGTTCAATCTCCTAGTAAGAATGGTCTTGTGTTATTTCCAGAGCAGGCATCCGTGATACTGGTAACCATCGAACTGAAGGTAGAACAACTGAAGTAACTGCTATTCCAACGCTCACCACCATGTGCCTTCTCTTCTTTCCCTTTTTTTTTTTTTTTGCGAAGAAGATCAGCCCTGAGCTAACATCCACGACAATCCTCCTCTTTTTGCTGAGGAAGACCGGCTCCAAGCCAACATCCACTGCCATTCCTCCCTCTCTTCTCCCCAAAGCCCCAGTAGATAGTTGTATGTCATAGCTGCACGTCTTTCTAGTTGCTGTATGTGGGACGGGACCTCAGCATGGCCGGAGAAGCGGTGCCTCGGTGCGCGCCCGGGATCCGAACCCCGGGCCGCCAGCAGCGGGGCGCGCGCACTTAACCGCTAAGCCACGGGGCCGGCCCTCTTCTTTCCCTTTATCTTCCCTCTCCCTGCTTTGTTGAAACATTGAGATGGGAGTCCAAATCTGTCATCATTTATCATCAATTTTGACTTCTGGCTTTAAAGGTAGAATATTCTTGTTTGCAAGGGTACTAAAATGAAGCACTCTCGGAAAGACAAATACCTCTGAACACAAAAGGGAAAGGCAGGAAGGAAAACTACCTCCTCAATTCCACCTGTCACCAAATCCTCCTTTTCCGAGGTCCATGCTGTGAAATTAATATACAAATCGTTTGCAGCAGCCTTTTCCCCACTACAGGCTGTGACAGGACACAGGTGTGGAACTTTGAGTCACAGAGAGACACCAAATGCTTCCCAAGGCCAAGGCAGAAGCCATAGCTTTAATCAGTGTCATAACATACCTAAATTAAGACTGGGAACAGGGGTTACAGGGTAGGAATTGGTTTGTACATGGCATAGAAAGCCAAGGGCAGAGAAGCAAAACACTGTTCTATCTTCTGGCACTGCGCAGTTTTCCCAAGAGCCTTTTGATAACTTGCCCTTTATAGATCTGAAGCCCCTATAACATGCAGCATACATTAAAATGTAATTATTTTTCACCACTTTTTTGGGAAAAAGCTGTACATAACTAAGCATGGCCAGTAACGTTTCTTTCTCAAGTGAGTCACATCAAAATCTATAATCAGCTTTCTCAAAAGCATATATGTCACATTACTGCACTAAATGGAACATGCAATGCTTTCAAGGTCTCTTGTCTATTAAATGTATAAAGCTCTATTCCAAAAATAGGCCAACATGCTGTTTAATGTTCCTAAGAAGAAGTGAAGCTACCACAAATAAGGAAACGGAGTTAGGACTGGACATCATCTCGACCAAATCACTCTGCCCCAGGCGAGGTCACATAAAGGGCCAGAACGCGCCTCTCCCCCTGGGAAGCAGAAGCTGCGGGCAAACTCTACTCAGCATCTCTTCCCCTGGGTGGGGGACGCCGGGCTCTACCTGGCAATACCAAAAGTAAAAAAAACATGCAGAGGATTGAAACCAGCATGGGTAACGCCTGTCCTTAATGTTACCAGGGTTAGAAAATAAAGGGGTAGTAGAAACCCTCTCTGTTTGGTCTCTATGTTACGGGTCTCTTAGCCTTCCGACATTTCCACCTCATTGATTTTCTTAATAGATTCAAATTCGACTCCGCATGAAGTCAGAGGCCCCGCGGATCTGGAATGAGCCTCATAAACCGGAGAAAGGGATTACTCGCGTACCCCCCACCTTTCTTCCGAGGCTTCACTAGCCAGACAACCTTCTCGGACACCTTGACACTGGGAAGCGGAGCGGGCCAACCCTCGTGGATGAGGAATTCCCTACGACTCATCCAGAATCCAGTCCGCGCAGGCGTCACTCCAAGCTGTGCGCTTACTACCTCGTTTAACCCCCTCGCCCACCATGCCGGGCCAGAACACCAGCAGCGGCCTACAAATGAAGACACCGGGGCGCTGAGACGTCCAAGAAGGAGCCGAAGATCACAAAGGGCGGGGAGGCAGGTCTCGAACCAGGCTCGTCAGGTCCCTAAAAGTCCTCTGGCATTTTTAATTAGCGCGGACCCGTCCCAGACGGCTCCTCTCCGGGGCGCGGATAAGGGTCAGGCTGACCACTCGCAGGGGCCAGGTGAGGCCAACTCCGGGGCGCCTCAGGGAGGGGCCCTAGCCCAAGCCTCCGCGAACCCCGAGCGCCACTCACCTTCCTCAGCCGCCGCCTCGGCCAGCAGCACGCCCAGCCGGCCCGGCCCCGCCCCCTCCGGCCCCGCCTCCGCGACCGTTACCGCGCCGTGGAGGCCGGCCAATCGAGCCGGAGCGCGTCGAGGGCCTGCCTCCGCTCCGCCTCCGAACGCCCGGAGCGATTTTCTCGGGCCGCACGGGAAGACTGGGACTGCCTGCGCCCTCTGGTTGGCTGCGCTGCTGGGGGCGGGGCTTACCATTAACGTAGACGTGGGTGCGCCGTGCTTGCTTCGCCGTCTGCGCCTGCGCATTTCCATTGTACTTTCAACGCGCGCTGGCCTCGCCGGATGTCTATCGCCTACTGGGACTTCACCTACCCGGAGGACTTCAGAAATAAACACTTGAGGCCACTGGTGAAAGGGAGGCCCGGGCCACGAGGCCACCGCAGACTGCCCTGCGCACACAGACACACGGCTTGACTGCGAGCTCTTGCCGCGGGACTGCTCACCCTGTTCTTTGCGTTCCAGACCTGGCTGAGCGCTGCAGCGCCTGGCACTTGGAGAATCCTAATAAATGTTTGTTGATGACATTTTACCCTCCCATTCAGCATTTACCAAATCTCCACGAAGTGTCAGGCCATACATCGACCACCAAAAATGCAAAGGTGGCTGACTAAGGATGCTCAAAGTCTAGTTAGGGAGATAGGTATACACTCTGAAATTAAGATACAGTGTGATAGGCATGATCGGAGAAAGGTGCGCAGGGCACAGAAGGGAAGGAGAAAGAGGATTACCTAAGTCGGTCACTGAAGTCTTCCTAGACCAGTGGGCCTCAACCCTGGCCGCACATGAGAATCACCTGGGGAGCTCTGAAAAGTCTTGATGCTCAGACCCCAAACCAATTAAATCAGAATCTCCAGAGTGGGACTTAGGCGTCAATAGTTTGTAAAGCTCCCAGACGATTCCAATGTGCAGCCAAGATCAAGAACTGCAAACCTAGAGGGATACATAAGAACGATTCTGAATGGTGAATAAGAGTTCCCCAGCAATAATAAGAAGAAAGGTATTGAGAGAAAACTTCAAGTGCAAATTAAATAAGATAACTTCAAAGCACATTATTATAATGTCTAGTTCACAAGTGCTGGGCCCTTTTGGTACAGCTCATATCTGCCCTCCCCAAAAACCTAACTCCCAAAGCACTTACAATTATAGTGAAACTCACTGAGGGCTTCCTGAGGCCGCTGAGGAGTATATTGCATCACTAGAGAGTCAGAGGAGAAGGCCTTAGGAGGTGTGCTAAGAAGCTGGGACTTTATCCACAAGGTGAGGGGAACCATAGACAAGTTTTAAAAAGGGGTATAAAATGGAAAAGTTTTTCTTTGGGCGTCTTCAAGCCTAATTTTGTTGCATCCTGATATATAGGTAAAAACGACTCCACAGTGTACAAATATAATCCCTGCTCTTTTTTTTCCCACAAAAGGAAATCAGCTCAATCCTCATTTCACATTTTAATAAATTCAGAATCTACAAATAGGGTCCCTTCCCACCATTTTCAAAAACTCATGGAGGGTTAAGTGATCAAAAAATTCCTAAGGGAAAATCCAACTTCCACATACTTGAAGGGAAGGCCTGGCATCTCAGCTGCCCACCATTGTCATTGTATCTTGTAGCCACATGGTGTCGCTGTTGACAACCTGTAGTTTCCAACTCATCAAATGATGCAGCTATGTGGGTGCAGGTCCCACGGTGGCCAACAGGGATCTCCGACCGAGGGCATCAGCCATGGTGTCCCTCACAAGGAGGTCTTGGAGTCACAGCTCTTAGGGTTCAAAGCTTTCAGGCCCATACTGAGCCTTCTTCCAGGCATCTGGGACCACTGTGAGTTTGATCTCTGTGTCTGTCCCATGCAAATATGTCCCCACCCTCGGCCGTTTCCTTACCTAGCTATTCACACCAGCTATGGTTGGCAGATTTTCATTTTCAATGCTTGAAACACAAAGAATCTCAGTGCTTGCCTTTTCCAGCACAATAGGGTGACTTGCCCACTCTTCTGAGTGTAGCTGCCCTAATTGTGGCCAGGACCAAACATCATTGGGTCAGTTAGTTTTATTTTGGCTGCAAATAATAGAAATCGTGATTCAAACTGTCTTCTTAAGCAATTAGGAAATTGATTATCTCACATAACAGGAAGTCCAGAGGAAAAATAGACTTTGGGGTTGGTTAATTCAGTGGTTCAAGTTATCAAGGACCTCGTTGCTTTTAGTCTCTCTACTGTAAACGTGGTACTAAATTCATACTAATTCACACTAATTCATACTAAAGTGATTTTCCAGATGTCTACCAGGAACAATCAGGACCACATGCTTTCTTTTCCATCTATAATCTTTCCTCTTGTTTTTTTGAGCCAATTAGTTCACACAGGTACATAGTCTGCCTCCTAATCAGTAACTACCTGACAAATGTGCAGATGGCTTAAGCCTGGGTTCCAGAAGGGAAAAGGGGCTACCATAATTGGACTTGGCGGTGGGGTGGGTGCTCCTTGAGTCACATGGGTTGGAAGGTGGAGGTATGGCTACTTGGAGTCCTGTAAGGGGCGAGAGGACAATGGATGCTAGATGGATGATCACCACTATCCTTCACAATCTTCAAAGCACAAGAAGGCTGATAACTTTCTATTTCCTAACAACAGAACCTCCCTCTCATCACTCCTGGATTTTGTGTGTAGCAAGTGGAGGAGAGGAAGCTGTATAGCACTGTCCTCAAAGGATTCCCTTCTTATGGACCACCAAGGCCTTTCCAGCACCCTCTTTGCTAGAGAAGGAAAAGACTGCATGCAAGTTCACTCTTTAGCTCAGCATCCTGCTGCATTGGTCTCAAGAGTTTTCTATGGGCCTCATCCACCTACCAGGATTCTAATGGTTCTAAACACTCATTTAACACTCATTCATGTACCAGGGATTCAACTAGATGCTGAGTTTACAGTGGTGAGTAAACCAGATGTGGTTCCTGCCCTCGTGGAGCCAATAGTCTAGTTGGGAAGAGAAATATAAAACACAAATGAGCATATAATTATGATAAGTGCTATGAAGGAAGAGAACAGCAGTGTGTGGAAGAGGCCTCCCTGAGGAAGTGACATTTAATCTGAGATCCAAAGCCTCTCTTCCTTTCAGCTTACTGCTGTCCTCTGTGCTTCAACTTCCCAGTATAAATTATAACTTTCATTAGCAATTAAAACATCTTTTAATTTCTAAACTTCTAAACTGAATCTCAAACTTTCTCCTGGGTATAGAACTATCAGATTTCTTTCCACAACAAGGAGTACACCAAATATGAATGGCATTTGGTGACGAATTCTTAAAGATTCTTCAACTCACAGGTCTTAAGTCTATTAAACTAATACATTTGTTTCTTCCTCCTCCACGAGAATTTGAACTCCTGGGGACATGGATCATATCTCACTAAACTTTTTCCAGCGCCTAGCATAGTCCCTGGCACAGAGTTGGTGCTCAATACAGTGCTGAATTACACCGTTAAATTTGAGTCACATTTACACAGGGGGCAATCACCTTCAGTACCCATTTTCCATTATGAAAGACTATAAGCAAATAGCTCAGGCAAATATATTAATAACAAATGCTCAAGAAATCTATACAGAATAACAATAGTTATATTAATTGAGCCCTTAAAATGTGTCAGGCTCTGGGCTAAGCACTTTCATTTTCTAATTTGTTGACTCTTCACAACAACCTTAATGTAGGTACTGTTATTATCTTTATTTTACAAATGATCAAATTAGAAAATAGAAGTTAAGAAAAAATGACTTGCTAAGGTCACACAGCTAGTGTGCGGCAGAGCCAGGATCTGAAACCAGCATTCAGGCTCCAAAGCCTATTTCATTAACCACTTGACCATACCACTTCTCTCACAATGGGCGTCTGCTCTACCATAAGACTGGTGTCTGCACTTATTCCAGTGTGCAGTTATTTCATCTGTCTGTGTATTAGTTATCTATCAGTGCATAACAAATTACCCCTAATCACAGCTGCTTAAAACAAATATTATCTGGAAGTTTCTGTGGGTCAGGAATACAGGAGTGGCTTAGCTGGATGGTCTGGACAGAATCTTTCACGAGGTCACAGTCAACCTGTTGGCCAGGGCTACAGTCATCTCAAGGTTCAACTGGGACTGAAGGATTCACTTCCAAACTCACTCATGTGGTTGTCAGCAGGCCTCAGTTCATTCCTTGTCAAGTGGGCCTGTCCTCGGGCTGCCTGAGTGTCCTCACAACATGGTGGCTTCCCACACAGGGAGTGATCCAAGAGAATGTGTGAGCACCTAAGACAGAAGCAGAAGTCTTTTTTATAACCTAGTCTTGGAAGTGACATATCATCCCTTCTGCTGTATGCTACTGATCACACAGACCAACCTTGGTAAAATGTGGGAGAGGACTACACAAGGATTTGAATACAGGAAGTGGGGATCATCAGGAGCCATCTTGGAGGCAACCTACCTCAGTCTGTTTGCCCATTTTTTGTGACTGCCTCCTCTACTAGAATCTAAACTTCACGAGTGGGGAAAAACCGTCAGTGCTTCTCATTGTTATATTCCCTGCCACAGTGCCTGACACATAACAGATTGTCAATAAATACTCAATAAGTGTAATGATGGCGGTGATATGAATCTCAAAGGATGAGCTTCCTATAATCCTGTCTCACTCTCACACAAATTCCCAGGTGCCATTCATGGTACCATTTAAATAATTTTTAAAAGCAGGACTATATCATGCCCAAGAACCATTATTCATGTATATAATTTCTATATAACTATAGACAGTGGACTTGGAAGGAAACACACCAAATTCATAGGAATGTTGGCCTTTGGGGAGGATAAGAAAGTAATGGTGTTGGGGTTGAAAGTCAAATAGGGCTTTATCTGCAATGTTTTCTTCTACTGAAATTTTTTATTGAGCTGATATTTAATGAAGTCAATTCTAGGTGGTGGGAATATGGGTATTATTCTCTGCAATTTTCTATATTTTTAAAATTTCTCAAAATCAACTAGATACAAATTGTAAAAGTCTT